TGGAAGACCATTCCACAGCTGACGAGCTCTATAGGAGAAAGCTCTGCAGCCTGCCGTAGCTCTTTCTACCCTAGGTACTAACAATCGGGCTGCGTTCCTGCGGTGTGAACATGGCCAAAGTTCCTAGTTCTAGAAAAAGGTTTTTTTCCTGAAAAAAGATCCTGCAGTGCCTAATGGTAGCATGCTTGTGTTTTTAGAGCAATTTTCCAAATAGCTTTTAAATTTAGATCATATTTTTGTCTCTAAACAGATCAGGGGCCCCCTGAACAGATCTTTTAACATAAAACATATGAATGACGTAGCGATAAGAAGCTTTTGAGAAACTGGGCTCAGATCAGATCCAATCCGATCTGATCTGATCCCAGAGGGAAATTCTTGTACATGTCACATCAAGTCCATAGAACACAGATGAACATGAATTCATCTTCTCTTTAAACAGCAGTGTCATAAACTGAGGACTTAGTGGAGTGAAATGTTGTTACATCTTAGATCAGGGCTTTTCAAATCTAGCCCTCAATTCCAAATCCAGGCCTTGTTATCAGCTCCCTAGCAGTTAGTTTAATAATGACTGATTCTGATTGTCCATAGACGCTTCACATCTGGTTCACAGGTAAACAAAGGTGGATAACAAACAGTGCATGGCCCTTGAGGTCCGTTATTTGAATAGCCCTATCTTTAATGCATTATTGGGCCCCTACGACACATGAGCATAATTTGTTTTGACTATTATATAGATTTGTTTGGAATAAAGAATGTGTCTGTACTGAATGGTTGGGGTTCGATACTTGTAAAATGCATTTACATTTCGATTTGACCACCCTCTGTGAGATCTCATATACTATATGAATTTTTGGTCAGTGTCACCCAGCTGTAACACATTTATTATTGTATGGTGTAAACTTTGGTCAGAGTCCACAGTGAGCCAGTTTTCTGTGCAGACAGTAGGCTGCATTCAAGATGCAGTGATGGAGCAGTGAGAATAAATATACCCCAGGCACCATCTAGATATGTGGGGAAAATTAAAAAAGACATTGGTCAAAACTGATTCAGACACTTTGATGGTAAAAATAGCAAGCCGTGAGGGCATGTACAGCAGCACCAGCAGCTATATTTACAGCATATTGTGGTTTAAGGCATGGGTAAGCTAAAGTTGAGTTCAAGATTTAAAAACTAATAAACTGGCAAACTGTTCAAAAACAATTGAAGGCAGTCCTGTACCTAGTATGAAACCAGGGAAGGATATGAATAATATGTTCATATTTTCTCCTTCTTGTAACAATGTAATGTTTCCTGTGTTCTCCATGACTGTATAACATTACAGTAATTGTTATTCCCCAGACTTCGAGGAACACATTGGGTTGTAGCATCGGCCCGCTGCCACCATTCCCACAACCACAAACACTTTGGCATGTAAGGCAATAACTCAAAAACCTTTTTATGGATCATTTTCAAACTTTGCCGAGGCGTTGTATGGCCGCCAAATTTTTAAACGGATTGCCCCTAAACTGAAGCAGTGGCACTTCAGGATTATAAATTGTTGTCTGGATACCAAAATTTCAAACTTCAGTACAATATCGCTGAATAAAAAATTATTTTAATTGCTTTTTTTTTTAAGTTAAAAGCATAGTTAAAAAAGTTAAGTTAAACACATCATTATATCTAAAAAAAGTTTTCAGTCAAAGCATAAGTGCAGTATAGTCATTGTAATTACACTGAAATCACATTTGAGATATTCAAGAGCAGTAAATAAACACTATTAATAATTAGATGTTACTGTATATTATTATTAAATGCATAATAGAACAGATATACATTAGTTTTACACGTCTTCTTTATCTTGTGTCACAAAGCACAAACACTTGTAACAACTGCATGAAAAGTGAAAGTTTGTCTTTGAGTTATCAACGTTAAATACGACCTCACAAGATTGTATGGAACTGAACACTACCCACTGGTAAAAATAGTTGCAGACAGTTGTCTTAATGTGGAAAATATTTTACCAACTACTAAACATGTTTTAATTCATAGAAAATATGCAGGTCACAACCCTCAGTGGTTAGAGTGGACTGGAAGTGCAGGCTACAGAATCGATACAATGAAAAATGAGTGTTGAAACCGTTTTATACATGATAGAATTGATATTTTTTATACTTTTGACAACGTTGGTTAAGAACCAAGAGTTAAAAAATTATTTTATTTTCAAATACTGTTCTTGTGAATCGCATGAATTTACCGTAAATAATTCATTTTTTCCCTCACTTTCAGTATGATTAGGAAGTGATCTTTTCTGGGAAATTACCATACAAAGCCCCTTGTACTTCAGCTAGAAAACACTTGTAGGCGTCCAAAATT